CAAAACAACCCACACCCGAAAAAGCACAAAAGCCCCTTAAATCCCCCGACTTTCCCCCAACGAAAACCCGACTCTCGGCTGCTGCCTGTCCCCGCGGCACTGCCTGGAGCGGCCCCGACGGCGCGGCCGATGGCCCTGACGGCGCGTCGTGTCCCCGCAGGCTCTTCGGCATCAAGTGCGCCCAGTGCCGGGCGGCGTTCAGCAGCAGCGACCTGGTGATGCGCGCCCGCGACCACGTCTACCACCTGGAGTGCTTCCGCTGCGCCGCCTGCGGCCGCCAGCTCCTGCCCGGCGATCAGTTCTGCCTGCGAGAGCGCGACTTGCTCTGCCGCGCCGACCACGGGCCACCCCCCGACGGCACCGCCGCCCGCGGGCCGCGCAGCCCCGCTCTGCCGCCGGCCGCCGGCGCGCACCTCGCAGGTACCGGCTCCCCGTCGGGGCGGGCGGCGGGGCGGGGGGGGTGTCTGGGGGGCTGCGGCGGGCGGGCGGGGAACGGCGCTGACAGTGCGCGCCCTCCCTGCCCGCCGCAGAGCCGGTGCCCGGGAGGCCGCCCGCCCCACGGCCGCCGGCGCACAAGGCAGCGGAGAAGACCACCCGCGTGCGGACGGTGCTGAACGAGAAGCAGCTGCACACGCTGCGGACCTGCTACGCTGCCAACCCGCGCCCCGACGCCCTGATGAAAGAGCAGCTAGTGGAAATGACGGGGCTCAGTCCCCGAGTCATCCGCGTCTGGTTCCAGAACAAGCGCTGCAAGGACAAGAAAAAGTCCATCCTCATGAAGCAGCTCCAGCAGCAGCAGCACAGCGACAAGACGGTGAGCGCCCGCCCGCCCCGCCGGGGAGGGAGATGTGGGTGGGGGCTCGGGCCGGCGGGTTCGGGCGGCAATCGCGCTGAATCCCCGTGTGCCCGTAGAGTCTGCAGGGCCTCACCGGGACGCCGCTGGTGGCCGGCAGCCCCATCCGCCACGAGAGCGCCGTGCAGGGCAGCGCCGTGGAGGTCCAGACCTACCAGCCGCCCTGGAAGGCGCTCAGCGAGTTCGCCCTGCAGAGCGATCTGGAGCAGCCCGCCGCCTTCCAGCAGCTGGTGAGCCGCGCCGGGCCGTCCGTCGGGCCGCAGGGGGAGGGCACACCCCGGCCCGCCGGGCTCGGGCGCTGAGGAGGGGGGACGGGGCAGGGGGCGACCGCGGCGGGCCCTCACCGCCGCTGCTCCCTCAGGTTTCCTTCTCCGAGTCCGGCTCCTTGGGCACATCCTCCGGCAGCGACGTGACCTCGCTGTCCTCCCAGCTCCCCGACACCCCCAACAGCATGGTGCCCAGCCCGGCCGAGACGTGAGGCGGCCTGGCCGCTCGCCGCCGCGGGACCTCCGCATGCCTGCGCTCCCTGCATGAGACACCCGGCCCCGGGCCGCTCCCAGAGCGCCGGACAAACGCCTTTGTTTTTTAATTATTCTTATTTAAAAACAAACAAAAAAAATGTTACTGACGGCCAAAAAAGCACCGGGATCCTCGCTGCCTTCACCAGACCGGAGAGAGAGCCCCAGCCCTGGTTATTTCGTTGTTTTGGGTTTTTTTCCCTGCGGATTTCGATGTTTTTTTTCCCCAAAGAAACGCGGATTTCCCCGCCGRAGCCCGGCACGGTGACAGGCTGCTTCGCTCGCAGCTTGTGCTGGGGACGGTTTTTCCTCCCTTTTTGAAAGGGAAAAATTAAAAAACAAAAAATCTGCAAAAGGGGGAGAGATTCCTCCGGCGTGCGGCCGCGGAGCCGGCCTGGACCTTCCTCCGCGGAGTAGCGCCGTCCAGCCTCATCTCACACCGATGCCTCTCCCGGGCCGCGGCGCCCGGCCCCGCACGATCGCTGGAAAAACGGGACACGGAAACGAGACTTTTTAACGGGAAAACCAGTACTAATAATGTTAAGTTATCAATGGACGAAGGACGGATTATTGCGCCTTTAACGATCAAAAGTAAGTTATTGTTATTTATTGTCAGAGTCAGCGGTTGAATAGTGGGATTAAATATTTTGGACTTAATAAAAAAAAAAAAAAAAAAAAAAAAGAAACCAACAATGGATTTAAACGAAAAAAAGCAAAAACAAATTAAAAAATATTGCGGGAGGGCGGCGAAAGGCTCCCCGGGCGCGGAGTGGCGCGGCCGTCCGGATTGGGAGTGCAACAAAGCGGGTCGGGACGGGCACAACCCCGGCTTCTCCCGCACGGCCTCACCGCACCGCGCTAATCGCCTTTCAGAACCGGGGCCGCTTATTTATAGCGGAGAGGCGGAGCGCAGGTTTCCCTTTCGGAGTAGCCCSCAGGCTCGCCCGGGTCGTGCCCGCACCTGCTGCGGTGCGAGGCCGCCTCGCCTCCTCCCTGGGGGTGGTGGGACTGGGCGGCGGGGGCTCCCCCCGGGCGGCGAGGCGAGGCGAGGCGTACCCTCCCGCGTATCCATYCCCCCCTTCCAGACCCAGGCGGCGGCTCCTTATCTGTCTCTGGCATCACCTGCGAGCGCGGCGGGGCCGCTCTGGCTCCCGCGCCCTACCCTTTTCCCGTGCGGGACTGCTCAGGACCAGCTCCCCGCAGGATCGCAGGCCCGGGCAAGCTCAAGCCACGGCGAGCCGCGCTCCCATCCCCATTCCTGGGCACCCGGGAGCGCGGGGAGAGCCGGGTCCTGCCGGAGCCCTCCCGGCTGCAGCGGATGGGCAGCGCGGTGCCGGGCCGGCTCCACCACCCCGGGAGGCTGCGGAGTGGTCGAGCAGGACCGGGCTCCGAGGGCGAGCTGCCGTCGGGGCGCATGGAGGGGCCCGGGCTGCGGGGCCGCCTCAGCCCCAGGCTGCTCTGCATCCTCGGGACGGGCAACCTCCCGGCTGGGGACAGGTGGGGATGGGGATCCTACCGCCCTCCCAGCCCCGTCGCGGGCCCCCTTGTTTACCTGGCTCTGTCCGGGTCGGGCTGGGCTCCGCGCATTCTCCCGGGGCTAGACTGGAGCGAGGAGCGCGGTCTTGCCTCGGGACCGCTGGCCGCCTCAGGCCCGCGCCGGGCCGGGCCGGGCCGTGCAGCTACGGGCGGTGCGGGGGCCGCCAAGAGGGGACTGTCCCGGTGCCGGTCGCGGTTTCGGTGCTGGTCCCTGCTCCGGCACCGGGCGTTGTGCCGGTCCCTGCCCGCGGTCCGGGATGGGCGAGGCTCCGCCGCAGCGCAGGGCCCGGGGATGGCGCCCCCTCAGCGCCCCCGCACGCGGGAAGGGCTCAGCCCCGCGCCGCGGAACCGCCACCGCTCGGAGAGCATCGGGAGGCTCACACCAGCGGTGCTCCTCTAACCGAGACGTTAAAAATGCATGAGGGCTAAAAAATCCGTATTAGGTGACGTATCCTCAATCACCCAAAAAATTATAAGCAAACTTTCCCCAGGGTTAGATCTGACAAATTATTTTAATTTGATTCTGATTGACTCTKGATTAACGAGAAAGAGTCTTAAGAGTTTTTTCCGCCCTCTTTCTGAGTCGTGTTGCTTATGGTAATTCAAACACACTGACAATTGTAACGCAGAAGTCACACAAGACAGAATAAGTTATTTTATTACAAGATATATAGAACATATTTTCTCTATTTGCAACCTTATTTCAGCAGTTCTGCAGTGCAAGTCCCACCACAGGGCAGAAAACACCAAAATCATGACATTGGATACATGAACGAAATAAACTCAAATTATCAAAATTACAAAACAGAACTTGGAAGTATCTACAGTACTTATGATATAAATAGTGCAAATTATATATCTACAGCGTAAGTATTTAGAGTATCAAAAACGTTTCGGAACAGCCTTTTAAAGAAGGTAGTCAGCAGGAACTGGTCAGTGTGACGATGTTAGGGATTTAAAAACTAAATACAACTCTTATTTTTTCAAGAAGAACTGTCGAGCTTCTTCCCAGGACTGCCGCGGGAATCTGTTGGACAGCTCAAGATAATCTTGAGAACTGAAAAATTTTTCTGTTGAAGACAGAACATCAAATTACCAAGTTATTCCCTCTTAAGATAAGATGGCAATAAAACAAGAATAATGAACATGCAGCCAATATTAGATACTTTAAGTCATTTACTCCCCTACCCCTATCAAAATCTTTTGAGACCACGGGATGACACTTCTGTGGAGCTCAGGACATCTACATTTGGCTTTAGGAACAGGGCAGAGGCTCTGATGAGCAAAGGCTTCCATTTGTAAGCTGATCAGGCTCTCTGCCCTACACAGAGGAACATTATACATCTTTATGTTCTTGGACCCACCGGGGACCAGCTCAGCCTCGTTCAACTCTGGGCAGCCTCAGCGGCGTTTTCTCTCAGCAGCTTTTTTATTTTTCCACGAAAGGCTGCAGAAGAGTTGTGCCCCCAACTCCCCAGAGCTGACAGCACGAGTATAAATGCAGCTTTCACTCCTAAGAGCACGCAGTGACGTGGWCAGGACTTCACTGGGAGCAAGTTTGTGGCTCTGACCCTCTGTGCAGCACCCAGCTATTAATTCTGTGCTTTCAGCTTTTATTCCCATCAATGTTATTATTCTCATTTGGTTTTGGGGATTCCATCCTTCACATTCAAGTGATATAACAGATATAAAGAATCCTGCTAACGCTAAGTCAACTTTTTTTGCAACTGGAGAGTGTTTAGAAATCAGACTTACATGTCACAACATCCTTGTTTAAAAGTTCATCCAGTTTGAACAGTGAAAATAAAAAGCAGTTTTCCACTTGGATTTTAGACGTTTCTTGAGCAGATTCTTGTGCAAACACAATTCTGGAAAGTTTATGGTGCTGACAATACAGGAGGCTGCTTAAGACTGAGATGTCTAATGTGGACAGCAAAAACCTCCATAAAGTTGCCTTAATTTTGTATTTTGTAATTTATTTTTAAATAAAAAGTYGATGGTTTAGACCTAGAACCACTCATCTTCTGGCAAACATTGAACAAAACGGTGGTGGATTTCTGTTTGTTATGAGGTAGAAATGACCAATGTCCAAATGCCACATTTTATGCAAAATAAGCTACTCCAGACAAGATGCCCATCAACACTTTAATTCTGGATGTGTTCAGCAAGTAACAGCCATCTCAGCTGAGAATCTTTCAAATGTTTAGCCTAGAAAAGTTAACTGCATTTTAAACTGCATTATTTAAAATGAGGGGAGGAGGAAAAAATAATGACTTCTGCAAACTGACAAACTTTAACRGACAATTACAGGACAGTATTTTAGAGATTTTTGGCTCCCTGGGTGTCTTGGCATGGCTGCATGGCTTCTGCAACCTAAAACTTTTGAAGGCAGCCTTTGTGTCAGCTAATTAAAAATGTGCAGGTASAGTATCACATTTTAAGACACGATAGCACACAGCATTTAATAAAGATTAACAGTCTGAATCCCTGACACGATGAGCAGCGGACTGGGAGACACATATGTGTAAGTCAGGATCTGAGTCTATCCCCAAACTGTAAAATTGTGCTGCAATATACTGCCTTTCTTTTCATCAATGCYGATTCAAAAAACTTAGATCACAGTAAAATACAGTATCTACACATTTTGTTACCCATTGAACGTACCCTTYTGCTGAGATAACTGATTATCTGTTTGGCCTGAGCTCTGAGCAAAATCCTATGGAGAAAAAAAAAAAAAAAGACATCAGGTTTCAGATCTTACTTTTGAGGAATTAAAACAACATTTTAAAGTCTTCACATRAAATAACTAATATTTTATGTAATCTGCAAATTAACAAACTCTGGCTTGTTTGCTACATAAGAGAATGATGACAGCACTTAAATTCTGTAGTTTACAGTGGATTTTTTTACATTTATTAGTGGATATTTTACATTTATTTATACTTGTTTTCAAAAAATATTGTTTTATTACACAACRGAGAATCCAAGGCTTTAATGCCTTCTTAGGAAATAGTTATTATTGTGATTTTTATTTACCATAGCTGTGTTTCTGGAGAACAAATGGCGTTTCAGGTTTTTGCTCCTGACTCCAAATACACTCTTAAAAAATTAATGAAGGATCCGAATTTCAGCGGCTGTGCTTCCCAGTGACCTGGGAGCCTGAGATGCTGATCTCCTGGGAGAATGTGGAGCTGCTGCCCCTGGCAGCCAGCTGTGCCCCCAGCTGTGCCCCCAGCAGGAGCACCCGGAGCCCTGGGCGATCCTGGTAGTATCCTCGGAGCCAGCAAGGACACGGACCTCGCCCGGACCCAGGCAGGGATCCTGTCTTTTSTGGGACTATCCACTCCACCGAAGAACGGATTCGCCGAGATAAGATACAACATAGCAAATCATGGACACTCCTAAATGCTTCTACTTATTTCTGCACATCTCAAAACAGAAGTACCAAAAATAAACAGGCTGATGCAAACTTCAGATGTTGGAAATAAATCTATTGGTAGGGAGGTCGCTGTAAAATCCAGC